TTTACAGAAAATCGAAAGTGAAATGAAAACCGGCTGCAGTCTCCTGAGTCCCCCGAAAAGGTGAGTGAACCCGGCTGGGCCGAGGTCCCCCAGCCCAGATCTGAAGATCCCCTCCCAACCAGTGCCCCCCCAGAGCCTCGGGGTCAGTTTCCCCTTCTCCGCAGCAGGTCTTCCCGGGAGGAAACGAGGGTGTGAACGTGACTTCCAGTCTCCGGGAAGGAGCTAGGGCTGCCCTGCTGCGGGCACCTGAGCTGGGACCGGGGCCGGCTGAAGCTGGAAAAAAAACAGGACGGAACCTGGAAGCCTAGCCAGAGGGTGGTCCAGAGGACGGTCTGCGATCCTTGAGACTCCCTTCCCCAAATTCTGCCTCTGGCCCTGGCCGGTGTGGCTTAGTTGGTTGGAGCGTCGTCCTGTGGGCTCAGAGGTGGCCTGGTGGCCGGTTGGATTCCTGACCCAGGGCTGCTGCTGGATCCCGGGTTGGGGGCGTGCAGGAGGCAGCGAATGAATGACTCACCATTGATGTTTCTATCTATCTCTCCCTCTCCCTTCCTCTCTCTGAAATCAATTTTTTTTAAAATATATCTTTATTGATTTCAGAGAGAGGAAAGGAGAGGGAGAGAGAGAGATAGAAACATCAATGATGAGAGAGCCATTGATCGAGCCTGCAACCCAGGCATGTGCCCTGACCAGGAATCGAACCCTGATCGCCTGGATCCCAGGTCGATGCTCAACCGCTGAGCCACTCCCGGCTGGGCTCTGAAATCAATTTTTTAAAAAAAACACCAAAACAAATTTTTTAAAAAATCATTAAGAAACATATCCTCCAGTGAAGATTTTTTTAAAAGTCCCCTTCTGGAGGAGAGAGGGGCAGGGTTATTTAAGATGGAAATGAGGACAGCTGCCCCGTTCAGAGTAGCTGAAAGAAGAGCCCAGGGAGTTCTGACCTCACATACATGCATGTGTGTATGTATAAACACATATACATATGTGCACATATATGTACACATATGCAGATATACATATTCTTATATCCAGTGTGGCTCAGTTGGTTGGAGTGTCTTCCTGCACACCAAAAGGTTACAGGTTCGATTCCTGTCAGGGCACATACCTAGCTTGCTGGTTAGATTCCTGGTCGGGGTGACAGTTTTCACTGTCTCTTTGGGGGACTCAGTTACTGCCTTCTGTCTGACTGTATCAATGGACCAGACTGTGGAGGAGAAGATCTTGTTACTCGGGTTAATGTCCTGGTCTTGTTTTAACACCCCCCCCCCCCC